CTCAGCACTCCAGATTCCCAAACACAGCAGTGGGCTTTCAGATTGGAGAGTCTGACTATACAAATAGACAATGGCCAGACCACATATAAAAACAGAACTCTGATCCACAGCCTGCAGCAATCAGCCTATTATGCAGAGGAACTAACCCAGGGAGCCAGCCTGCTCCCTAGAAGCCAGACTTGTAGGAAATCAGACTAGCAACTGATCCAGGAAGCCAGAAAAGAAGCCCTCAAAAACAGGACCAAAACGGCCAGGACTTGACTGATGAATCCCTGGCAGCTTCTCTAATTTTTGTCCCTCCTTGCAACAGAGGAACAATCAGAGAAAGCCAAACGTGCACCTGTATCCCAATCCATAGGATGCCCCGCTTATAGTGAGCCGCCTCCAGCTTCCCACGCCAACAGCTTCCGCTCAGCACAGTTTTGGAGCCTTCCCTTTTCTCCACTATGAAAGTTTCCCCACTCCTCTGCCTGTCTTTGAGTCTCTGCCAAAACTCAAGTGATGGTTGCCGACTCCCCGCTATAGCAAGTTTGGAATATACAGCCTTTGCTTTTCTCATCTGCTTGGTCTTCATTTATTTCTACGAGATCCTTCACGGTGAGAAGCTGCTTCCTCCCTTGGAGGCTTTCTAACCCTGCACCCTCTGCCTGGAATGCTTCCTCCACCCTCCACGTGGTCAAACCTCTCCCTGTTTTCTGGATTTCAACTTGTGAATTGGAGACGCCTTCTCTAACCACCCAGTAAACACTCCCTTCTCAGCCTCTTTTTTGGTTCCCTTACGGTGCTTGCCACAGCTTGCAATCATTTCATTTATTTTTCTGGTTTGCCTCTTTTCTACCTATCACCCCCACTAGAATGGAAGCTTCATGAGGGTAGGTCCTCTCTTCTGTTTACTCTGACTCTGAGGACCTAGAATAGGACCCTACAAACAGCAGATACTGCAGAAATACATTGAAAGATTGAAAGGGTGAATAAACAATTGCATGCCTAAGGTAAATGCAGACTCAGTGGAAAAAACGATTGTGCCCAGCAACCCATTGAAAGAACTGGATTTTGAATGAGTCCACGGTGCTGCAGATTTGCTGATTTCTTTTGTGGGCCAGGCCTAGGGTTGAAAGTTGGCTTCCTGTTGATCCCTCATGATACGCAACACTCCACATCAGAGCAGTGGATGACGAAGAGACATGGCCCCAGGAAGCAGGGCTGAGTCTCAAAGACTCACAAAGTCTCTGAGCTCTGAGCATATGGGTTACACAATTTCCCTGGCTGTCAAATATTAGCTCTCGAGGCCTTCCCAGAATCCAGGCCTCAATGTCAGCTACAGCTACCCAAGCTACTGAGAGAAGAGGTGGAATTTCACAGCTTAACAAGCCACAGTCCTTGTCCTCAAAGAAGTTATCAAATCTAATCACTGGCCACAATTTCTTTGCAGCCAAGCACATCAGTCAGGGCTCACCAGAGAAACAGAACCAACAGGATATATGATAAGAGATTTAATTTCAGGAATCGTCTCACACAATTGGGAGGGCTGCCAGGTTCAAAATATGCAGGACAGGCCCGAATGTTGGAAACTGCGACAGAATTTCTATGTTACAGTCTTGGGTAGAATTCCCTCCTCTCTAAGAAACCTCACGTTTCTCTTCAGGCCTTCGACTGATTAGGTTAGGCCCACCCATGTTACTGAGTGCAATCTCCCTTACACAGGGTAACCTGACTGTAGATATTAACCACATCTACAAAATAATTTTCATCAGTCAAGCATGGTGGCTCATGTTGTAATACCAGCAATTTGGGAGGCCGAGGTGGAAGGATGGCCTGAGGTCAGGCATTTAAGATCAACACGGCAAGGCCAACATCATGAAACCCCGTCTCTACTAAAACTACAAAAATTAGCTGGGTGTGTGGTAGGTGCCTGCAATCCCAGCTACTCAGGAGGTGAGGTAGGAGAACCGTCTGAACCCAGGAGGCAGAGGTTGCAGTGAGCTGAGATGATGCAATTGCACTCCAGCCTGGGTGACAGATCAAAACTCCATCTCAAAATAATAATAATGATTTTCATAGTAGGATCTAGGTTAGTGTTTTCCCCCAAAACAAGGCACTATAGCCTAGCCATGTAGACACATAAAATTGACCATCACATCAAGGTTTCAATGTTAAATTCCTGATTTTTTTTAAGTGAGTCAGATTATGACATTCTCTGCTTAATTAACACCCTCTGGAGCTAGCCATCACTCTCAGTTTAAATTTCCAGTCCCCTATCATGATTGGAAATGGCTCAGCCTCATGTGACTCAGAAGGCGCTCTGGCCTGATCTGCTCCCCTACTTGTCTCTATTCTACAGTGAGAACCTCAGCTGTCCCAGTCACCATCCTGCCTCAAAGCCTTACAGGTTTACCCCCTTCGCCTGGATGTTTTCTCTCTATCCCTACGGAGTTAGCCATAGGGATAGAGAGAAAACAAGCCTCAGCTTAAATGTTTCCTCCCTTAAATGAGGGTTAGCTACTATGATGCACAAAGTGAGTTTCTTTAACTCTTGATCACATCACCTACTGTCTCCTTCATCACTACGTCACTATTTGTAACCACTGTTTATATAACTTGCCTAAAATGTAATCAGTGATTCTCAGGCAGGGGCAAGTTTGGCCTCAGATGACATTCGGCAATGTCTGGAAGCTTTTTTTATATATAATTTTTTTTTTTTTTGAGACAGAGTCTCACTCTTGTCGCCCAGGCTGGAGTGCAGTGGCACGATCTCTGCTCACTGCAACCTCTGTCTCCCAGGTTCAAGTGATTCTTCTGCTTCAGCCTCCCAAGTAGCTGGGACTACAGGTGTCTGCCACTATGCCTGGCTAACTTTTTTGGTATTTTTTTGAGTAGAAACAGGGTTCCATGCCATTCAATTTTTTGTATTTTTTAGTAGAGATGGGGTTTCACCATGTTAACCAGGATGGTCTCCATCTCCTGACCTCAAGATCAGCCCACTTCTGCCTCCCAAAGTGCTGGGATTACAGGGCATGAGACACTGTGCCCAGCTTGGAGACTTTGAAAACCAATACTATATTTATTTATTTATTTATTAAATATGAACTTTATTTTCTGGAGCAGTTTTAAGTTTTCAGCAAAATTGAGCAGAGAGTACAGAATTCCTACAGACCCTCTGCCCCTACACATGCTCAGCCTCCACCATTTTCATTATCCCCCACCCGAGTGGTACATTTTTTACAATTAACGAGCCTGTGATGACACATCATTATCACACAGAGTCAACAGTGTTCATCAAGATTTCTTCCTAGTTTTGTCCATTCTGTGGGTTTTGACAAGTGTAATACATGTATCTAGTATTGTAGTGCCCTGCAGAATAGTTTCACTGCCCTGAGAAGAATCCTATGTGCTCTGCCTATCCTTAATTCTCTCCCCCACCAACCTCTGGCAACCACAGAAATTTTTACTATCTCCATCATTTTGCTTTTTCAGAATGTCATGGAGTTGGAATCATACAGTATGCAGCCATTTCCAATTGGCTTCTGTGATGGTTCATTTTAGCTCTCAGCTCAACTGCATTAAATGATACTCAGCAGATAAAGCATTATTTCTGGGTGTGTCTGTGAAGATGTTTTCAGAAGAGGCTGGTATTTGAATCAGAAGACTAAGGAAGATCTGCCCTCACCAATGTGGGCAGTGCTCAAATAGGATAAGCAGGCAGAGGGAAGGGGAATTCTCTCTCTCTCTCCAGGAGCTGGGGCACCCTCCTTCTCCTACCCTTGGACATCAGAGCTCCAGGCTTTGCAGCCTTTAGGCTTAGGGACCTGCACTAGCTACCCTTCAGTTTCTCAGGCCTTTGGCCTCTAACAGAATTATGCCATCAAACTCCTTGGTTCTGAGGCCTTTGGACCTGGACTGAGTCATGCTATGAGCTTCCCATGCTATGACCTTATGAATGGTCTATTGTGGGATTTCTCAGTCACCATAATTATGTAAACCAATTATCATGGTAAATCACCTATTATCTATCTAGCTGTCTAGCTGTCTGCCAATCTGTCTATCCCATTCATATAATCCATTATGTATATATTCATCCATCTATCCATCCCATCTATCTATCCCATCCATCAAATCTCTCTCCCTCTAATCCATCTAATCTATCTAATCCATCTAATCTACCTATTCCATTCATCTAATCTATTATGTGTCTAACCTATTTATTTCATTCATCCGATCTATTATCTATGTGCCTATCTATCCCACACATCAAATCTATTATCGGTCTATCGCCTATTCGTTGCCTCTCTGGAGAACCCTAACACAGCTTCTTTCACTTTGTAATATGCATTTAAGGTTCTTGCATGTCTTTTAGTGACTTGATGGCTTATTTCTTTTTAATTGTGAGTAATACTCTATTTTCTGGTTGTACCGCAGTTTATCCAGAACTGAAGAACATCTAAGTTGTTTCTAAGTTTTCACAATTATGAATAAAGCTGCTAGAAGCATCCTATGTCGGTTTCTGTGTAGACATGTTTTCAACTCATTTGGGTTAAATACCAAGGAGTGTGATATAGTCTGGATGTTTGTCTCCTCTGAATCTCGTGTTGAAATGGGATCTTGAGATGGGACCTAGTGGGAGGTGTTTGGGTCATGGGGGTGGATCCCTCATGAATGGCTTGGTGCCCTCCCCAGGGTGATGAATGTGAAGTCCTGAATAGCAGGTGAAGAACGTGTAAGAACATGGAGTGATTCACAGAGTCAAATGAAGGCTGAGAGCCAACCAGTGTATTTCATAATGTAGAGGCCCTGATGACCTCAGCAAGAGGGGACTAGGGATGAAATCCTGTTGGATAGTATCTTAGTCTGTTTTGTGTTGGTATGACAGAATACCACAGACTGAGGTACTTATAAAGAAAAGAATTTATTTCTCACAATTATAGAGGCTGGAAAATTAAATATCAATGTGCTGGCACCTGGTGAGGGCCTTCTTGCTGCATCTTCCTATGGTCGAAGGCAAGAGGGTGACAGCAGATGAGAGAGATAGATTAAACTTGCAGCCATTTTATGATTGGCGTTACTTCTATGGTAGCAGCAATCAAGACATACATATCAGGCTTACTGAATGCCTACGATGCTTCAGACACTATGCTAGATATCAGAAATGCCATAGGTAGCAAAACAGTCTTATTTCATAATTCTTTTCCTATGCTAATTCCTTTGCTGTTACTGCACAGCAAAAGCCTTTGCAAACTTTAAGAATGGTTGTAAATAGTTTGACCCTCTTAAGTGAGACATCCTAAGGAATTGTTCTCATCTAAAAGTGAAAGTAGACCAGTTGACCCAAATGGAATCAGCAGAAAGAAGCCAAGAGATTTCCAGTAAATACATGGGAGCGTTTGGGCAAGATCCAAGCCCAAGAAGTCTGTCTCATTGTTATCTAAAGAAAGCAGAGAAAGAATGTGATTGTAACTAAGAAAGCTGGAGTCTAATGAGTATATTCTGTCGGGGCAAATGTATTAAGAGAAGATGGTCTGACTGGAGCTTTAAAAAAGGATATTATAGTAGAGATGGAGAATTTATTAGTGCTGATCTAATGCTGCTAACTGAAGCCATATATTAAAATTATTAGAGAGGTACAGGCTGCTGGACGACTAGGGTGATTTTTTTTTTCTAGTTCATATGAGTCTTAAGATTATCCCACCGTCTTTATTTTTAATTCCATGTACATAAGCAGTCTTCAAATTAATATCTTTACTTTGGGATAAGAAACTGGGGTCTAGACTGGGCGAGGTGGCTTACGCCTGTAATACCAGCACTTTGGGAGGCCGAGGCAGGTGGATCACCTGAGGTTGGGAGTTTGAGACCAGACTGACCAACATGGAGAAACCCCATCTCTACTAAAACTAAAGAACTATCCAGGCATGGCGGCACAAGCCTGTAATCCCAGCTATTTGGGAGGCTGAGGGAGGAGAATCACTTGAACCTGGGAGTGGAGGCTGGGGTGAGTTGAGATGGCACCATTGCACTCCAGCCTGGGCAGCAAGAGCAAAACTCCGTCTCAGAAAGAAAGAAAGGAAAAGAAAGAAAGAAAGAAATTGGGGTCTGGATTTCAGACAAATTATTAAATTGTAAGTCTACTGTATACATCAGTCTTTTATAAATTTGATTAACCTAAGTCAGTTTCAGAAAAGATGCATAATCACCTAGGAAAAAATCCTACAATCCTACAGTCCAATATTACCGACAGTCTAGAGGATCACATGTCATTTCTCAGGGTTTGGCCCTTAGGTCTCAAAGAACTGGGAAGTAAAAAAATTGGATTTTGAAACTAAGAACCGGGCCTGGGAAATGGCGGCCACGCCCAAGCATTACGATCTCAAGGAACACTTTTGAGAGATTGTTCTGTGCTTCTCTGATATCATCATGATCTTGCTAATTGCAAAAATCCCTCAGAGAAAATTTTTTAAAAGTGAGGTGACTAGTGAATAATGGGTCATGTCTGAAGCTTACTTTCTTCTTAGTCACTTAAATGTTCTACAGGATTGCAGGTCTTTTCATCCTGGGACCTAGAGCTAGAATACAACTCCTGGGGCTTCACTGCTCAGGGCTGCTTTGGTAGTTCTGGACTTCATCTGATTGAATTTATATGACCTCTTTTTTGTGGGGAGGGGTGGAAACAGTCCCACTCTGTCACCCAGGCTGGAGTGCAGAGGTACAATCTCTGTTCAGTGCAACCTCCACTTCCTGGGTTCAAGTGATTCTAATGCCTCAGTCTCCAGAGTAGCTGGGATTATAGGCATGCACTACCATGCCTGGCTAATTTTTGTATTTTTAGTAGAGACAGTTTTACCATGTTGGCCAGGCTGGACTCGAACTCCTAGCCATGAGTAATCCACCTGCATTAGCCTGACAAAGTGCTGGGATTACAGGCATGAGCCACTGCGCCTGGCCTGACATCTTCTTTTGCACAATGATCTTTTTAAAGAATTGGCTTTCCATATCCCTGAATTTTCAGTCAGAAAATTGAATCTATCCTAAGTGTGAATGCTGACTGAAAGGAGAGTTATCTATCTTGATCTGCAAATCCTCTAAATTATGTTTGTTTGTTTGTGTTTTATTTTTACTCGTTTATTATAAAGGATATTACAGAGGATGCAGATGAAGAGATGCACAGGGTAAGGTGTGAGGGAAGGGGCACAGAGCCTGTATGCTTTCCCTGGACGTGCTATCCAGGAACCTCCACATGTTCAGTTATCTAGAAACTCCTGAGTTTGTTTTTCTTGTATTCTCCCAACTTCGTTGGAACCTTACTGTTTAAGAGGCAGCATTTATATTAAAAACAACTGCTTTGATTTTCTGTGGCAGACAGTGAAGCTCTTTCACTGGCTAGAGTCTTTCATTGGGTGCCCCAAAATGAATGAATCTTCTACTTCTTCTTTTTTTTTTTTTTTTGAGACAGAGTCTCACTCTGTTGCACTGGCTGGAGTGCAGTGGTGCAACCTCGGCTCACTGCAACATTCGCCTCCCCAGTTCAAGCAATCCTCTTGCCTCAGCCTCCTGAGTAGCTGGGATTACAGGTACCCACCACAACGCCTGGCTAATTTTTTGTATTTTTAGTAGAGACGGGGTTTTAAATGTTGGGCAAACTGGTCTCAAACTCCTGACCTCAGGTGATCCACCCACCTTTGCCTTCCAAAGTGCTGGGATTACAGGCGTAAGCCACCACACTTAGACCAAATGAATAATTTTAGTAGCATTGTGGGAGACATAGATTTTATACATAGGGTGATCTGACATGTCTTCCAGATTCCAATGTTGAAGTAAAGGACCACAAAATGAGAGCAATGCTTACAATCGACTGTGGATTACATTTGATGAATATAATGTCTAAATGATGGCTGATGAAGCTTATCAACAATATGGCTTTTTTGTTTCATTTTGTTTTTGAGACAGGGTCTTGCTCTGTCACTCAGGCTAGAGTGCAGTGGCACAATCTCAGCTCTCTGCAGCCTCTGCCTCCTTGGCTCAAGTGACCCTCCTACCTACATGTGCCATTATACCTGGCTAATTTCTGTTTTTTTAGTAGAGACGAGGTTTGTCCATGTTGTCCAGACTGATCGCGAACTCCTGAGCTCAAGTGATCCACGCACCTCGGCCTCCCAAAGTACTGGGATTACAGGCATGGGCCTCAGCTCCCGACCCCTCTACAATGTGTTATTTAAAATATTTTACTCTTAATTGTGGTAAAAAATGGCATAAAAATACCTTCTTGCCTATTTTTAAATGTACAGTTTAGTAGTGTTAAATATATTTTTGATGTTGTGAAACCAATTCCCACTACATTTTCACCTTGCAAAATGGAAACTCTATGCCCATTAACCAATAGCTCTTTATTCCCTGTCCTCCCAGCCCCTGGTAACCACCTTCTGTTTCTGTGAATGTAACTACTCTAAGTACCTCACATAAGTGGAATCATGCAGTATTTGTCTTTTTGGGACTGGCTAATAATATGCTTTTAACGATAAAACCAGTTTCTCAACTGTTCATCCCTTCAGGTGAGAAGTAGCAGCAGACACTACTATCTCATCATGGTAACAACCCATCTTTGCTTCAGTGTGCTAGTCAGCGTGCTAAGAGCTTTATATTCAGGATCTTAGTTGGTCTTCCCAACAGCTCTGAGACAGACACTCTGATTCTCTCTGCTTTCCAGATGTGGACCTGGGACTGAGTTATTCAGCAACTGGTTCAATATCACACAGGTAGTAAGTGTTAAAGTCAGCATCCACACTCAGGCAGTCAGGCCCCTGAGTCTGTGTTCTTCACCACAAGACCACAGTGCTACTCATCACTGTTGGTAATTTGCCTGGGAGGCAATGACATTCTGTTCCAGACAGGACAGACATTTCTCAGATGAGAAGGCCAGTAAAGCTAACATCCAATTTGCAGTACCTTCAAACCAGTTGCCCTAAGAACAAAGCTTACCCAGGTTTCTACAAGGAAGCTTCATGCATTACTATAGCAGATGCTCCATGTCCACTGCACCTGAGCTCACTTCGGTATTGGCAGAGGTCGATTTCTGAGCACCTGGGAGATTCTCTCTCAGTGGCCCTGCCTGGATTTTTCTCAGGTGCCCAAGTCATGCCAGCTTGCCCAGCCAGCATGCTAGGCAGCTGCAACTGTTGGAGATGTAAGAGCCTCGGGGTGGGGTAAGGGGACAAATGCCCTAGCTACCCAGGGCATTACTCCTCTCTTTCTTCCTTCTCCACTGCCCTTCCTCCGTTTTCCCACGTCCTCATCTGTATTTCCTGGGTTGACTCAGCAAACTACCTTCCTACATCTTGGTCTCAAGTGTGCCAGAGAACGCTGACTGAGACAATCAGCAAACACGAAAGCGGAATCGCAATGCCAGCTCCTCCTCAGCTTGTTGTTGTTGTTGCTATTTTTAACAGAACTGCATCCTCAGACCAGATGTTTGTTGGAGTATCCAGGGACGCCCAGTCTTGACAGTAGGGCGTTGGGCAAACACAACTCTGCGCTAAACACCTAATTCCCCATAGCATGAAAATACTGGAATTCAAAGAAAACTGGCCAGTCTTGTTCAACAGCCCCCTGGTAAATAGAACAGATACTGTATCATTTTAAACAGCAAACGGCATAAATTAAATTTGAACCGAAGTGTATGTGTCATTGTTGGCTCTTTACAGAATAAATGAAATGCAAGCTGAGCAAATCTAAAAGGCAAATCATTTTCTCTCTTTCTGAAGAAGCCACCTGTGGGTCTCTGTTCATTGGTACTAAACCTCACCCTCGGAGCACCATAAGTGGTTAGACAATGGGTCTCTATGTATTTCCCATTTATACCACTACTGAGATAAATGAGACATTCAAGAGAAAACAAAGCAGTAAATGCATGTTACAAATCAATTTTGTCAGAGACATTTTACTTCATCGAAAAAAAAAAAAGAAATAGCTACTTTGGACTCATTAGAAAATGAGGAAAAACACCACTTTGTCACAGTATTAAGCAGCTGCTTCTGGTTTCAATGATTAAGTGGAAATTGATCAACCATAAATAATCAAGCAAATACCCTGTTGGACATTTACCTTGAATAAGAAGTTGTCTACAACTAACGCTACAGAAAGATGGCAGCCAAAACTTGACATGGTATGAGAGGGAAGATGCTTTCATCTTTCAGCCACTCATTGCATAAGCTATGCTCAGCACCTGAGGCTCAGGTGAAGAAACTCACAAGCAAAGATCAACCACTCAAATCAAATACAATGAAGTGATTCTGGAATGAAAAGTAGTGGTTTCAATTTCTCAAAATAAGTTTGATTCAAGGGGAACATGTGAATAGGAATGAAGGCAAAGAAAATTAAAATGCAGGATGGTTATGAGTGATAAGTGATAAAGACTTTTTTTTTAAATGTCAAAATTAGATGGAAAATTACCAAACCATCATTTTCACTGAGAAACTTTCCTTAATCTCCTCCTGCCATGACCATAATGAAAGAAAAAGAAGGATGGGAGAAAAGGATTAATCAAAAGATAAAATCAAAATAAATAACTCTTTCCATGAAAAAAAGACAAAAAAAAGTTTTAAGGCAGAAGAAAGTAGAGAGCTAGAAATTTCTTAATTCAGTTCGGAATGTTTCCTTTGGAATGAAGTCAGAAATACTCATTCTGTTTGTCTACATTCTTATCTATCTCTAGGTGTGTCAGTCTTTTCTATTTTTAGAATAGAAGACTCTTAAGGATGAAAATCATGATTTTTTATGTGTAATGCAATAACATTTGGTGGATAAATCCAGAAACTGTTCTCTTTACACTACTTAGAAGAGTTATTGATTCATTTTTTGCCTTCAGATACATAATGCTGTGCAATTATTGAGTGAGCCTGTTTAAAAATATGGATGGTCCAAACACCTCCTGACTAGAAAGGGCACCATCCTCGGGCCTGAATGACACTTTGAGATGTTACCGCCAGTGAGTGAAGACATCTGACCCGCCAGCGTAGCAGAGGAGTCTGATAGAACTTTACTCTGCGTAGCCATTAGGGAACAAACCATCCTGTATAGGCCAGGAGTGTTGACCTTTGACTACTAATACTTAAAATCTTCGATCTTTATTAAAAAAAAAGTGAAAATTCCTAAATGTTTAAATACATTGTGTGGTATATACTTAAACCTTTTGGGGTTTAAAAGTATTATTTCAGCTCACAAATATGTTTTGTGTTCAAGATAGTGCCTGAAGTCTTAGACCTACAGAAATGGGATTAAGACCTTTTTTCAATGAGCTTGCACTCTGACGGAGTGGCTATATCAATTTTTTGCAGAAAGAGGCAAACAAAGATATAGATATAAACTATAATCTCTATGTTAAAGATGCAAAGAGATATCTAGAATGACTTCTGGGTTTCTGGTCCAAGTTACTGTGTAGACTGTGGAGCTGTTTGCTGTGATGGGAATGAGAATGACCCCCCAAAGATGAGCAGTAAGGGGGTGACCATGAGCTCACCTGTGAGTTCTAGATATGATGATGTAGGATGTATAGCCCCAAGAGTGGCCCTAACATTGACTTATTAAGAAAGTCATTGACATGAGCATGCATTTTGGGCATCTGGCTTATTGTTATAAAAATGAAATAAGGCTGGGCATGGTAGCTCATGCCTGTAATCCCAGCAGTTTGGGAGGCCAAGGCAGGTGAGTTGCTTGAGGTCAGGAGTTTGAGACCAGCCTGGCCAACATGGTGAAACCTGTCTCTACTAAAAAAGTACAAAAATTAGCTGGGCGTGGTGGCACACACCTATAATCCCAGCTACTCGGGAGGCTGAGGCAGGAGAATCGCTTGAATCCGGGAGGTGGAGATTGCAGTGAGCCACAATCAAGCCACTGCACTCCAGCCAGGGCAACAGAGCAAGACT